AGTGAAGCATTAGCTAAACCTGAAGAAGACAGCAGGCTAGAGCATGAAGGCTGAATTTAAAGTGAAATGGAAATGGAAAGGATGGAAATGTAAAATGAGGAAGTAGTGTGACATAAGGTATTTAAATATAGATGTTTAAATATATAAGTACATATTTATAGAAATGTATTTAAAGTATATTTAAATATAGAAAGACTCTAATATTCTGCAGAGGCAATGGACTTAAGCTCAGATCACAAGACTGGAGCCTGGTCTCTCCCACATCTACACTACTTCTCTAGTAGCTGTTCCATTGGTGAGTAAGCTAGGCTATACCCACTGAGTTTAGTGTGACCAGTTCAGACAGGCTCACCCCAATACCTGTGCTCACACCTGCTTTCTTCCCAGGGGATCCTGTCCTCATGGTGCTTCCTGTTCCTTCTTGTCTATGACACAGTCGATTTCTTCCCAAGGTTCTAAGACAGAAGCTAAAATGCACCATAACCCCTTAAATATTATCTTTCTAGTCATTTCAATAAAATCTCTCCCTGCCTTCATTCCACTTGTAAGTTCAAGTAATGATCTTTCAGCTGGATGATGGTTCCTATGATAGAATGGAATTAAGAAAAGGCAAGCCACAAGAATGGAACTGGAAAGTGAAACTGAACATCATTGAAAAACTACAGTATTATCACAAGTCTATCTAAAGCTTTTCATGTAAAATAATTTCTGGAGATGCCTTCAACTTTTGTCTTTAGCTCCCTGTTTTCTTCTAATTAAGCCTTCTTTATGAATAATTGATTCAGATAAGCCAGGTGGGAAGACTAACAGCAATATTCAAAAGTAATACTTGAAATTAGAAACACGTTGATGCCATCACTCTCTTCTGCTGACTCGCTATGATAGCTTCTGTGTTCATGGCAAGTATTTAGTATTCAGTCTGAAGTTAGGCTAATCACTGTTGATGGACAAGTATATATGACTACCCATTCTTCTCAGAGATTTGAAGTTGCTCACTGGGATTGAATAATCACTGAAGCATCTAACAGTGTCTTCCCAACGTGCACCTGAAGATGGACAGAAATTACATAAACGATGGAGTGTGTTGTGTATTAGAATCTCACATATACTCTTGGAGTTATTAAAGTAACTGCATATTTTAAGGGAATGGAATCGGTAGATATTTGAGGTGCTCTCTCTAAAACCTCTAAGCTAACTGTAAAATGAGTACTCTTGTTCAGAAGGCTTTGTTCCATTTTTTAAAAAAATCACATCAAAGAATTTTCCAAATAGAAAATTCCATTTCTAGAGTTCACAGGTTTATTGCAGCAACAGATGTTCAGCTAATCTCAAATTGGACAGAATCATGTAAGTAATCATTTGAGGCATAAAAAGCACTAATAGGGAATGAAAAGGCAGGGTTCTGCCAGCACTCATATTTTAAGTAGAGAGAAACAGAATTTGCAACTGTAGAAACAAAGGCTTGTTTTTCAGTGTGGCTAACATGCCTGCTCTGCTACAAAGTAAAAAAAAAAAAGTTCTTAGAGGCTGAAGATCATGAGTTTTGTTAAACAGACTTGGATTCCAATTCTATTCTACAGTGGGCAATTTTTTTTTCAGCCACAATGTATTATTTTTAATTTTTAAATCTGGGAAAAGTATTATAAGATATTCTATTGAGAATGCATTTATGCAGACATGCCTATGAGTAGCAAATATATTAAGATTTATTAGTCACCTCTAATTGCAACTAAATCCTTAAAACTATGCTTTTTACTTTTCAAAACTCTTATACAGGATAAAACCATTGGCATGAGGAAAGTGATAATTTGAATACAGCATCAGCTAAGAGCCTGAAGATGGAATCAAAACAGCACCAATTAGCTCTGCACGGGACAGGAAACGTACTTGATAGCCAGCCTCAGAAATAAAAGATTCTTCGGGACCTTAGCTTACTTTTCAGTGATCTTAGGAAATACCATTTAAGATTTTTAATAATAACGTAACAAAGAACAGTTCCTTGACTGCCCTAATCACACTGACCACATCTTAGCATCACCAATGAACATACCCATGGCTATAGCTCCCTCTGCTACCACCTCTTCCTTCACTCCCATACTGCATCTGAGCATCATCGTGTAGTTTCCCTCAACAAAGAGACAACTCAATACCAACTACTGTCAAAAAATAAAGAATTCAAGAAGCAACAAATCAAGTCTCTTAAAAGATAATACTTGCATGAGAAAAACTGAAATTTAGCCTCAGAGCCACACACTGCTGCTGAGCTGAATAAGGATCCTACAATTACAATGATGTCTCTTACAGTATTAGAACAAGAGGGAGGTGGTACAGGTCCTCATCTAAGGCCAGGCTTTCCAAAGGTCACTGGGAGTGTGAAGCCTATATCCTGTTTCAAATGATCACAAACCTGAATCTGAACCATGAACTATTCAGTTAAATATGTATTTATTCTTGCTTCTCACAAAATAGAGGAGGGAGTGAGAAGTTGCCCTGCCATGCTTTCTTAAAGCAGCAGACAAGAAACACTAAAGCAAAATAGCAATATGCACGCACACGCACACAGAAGTAGGAAGTACAGCCTCTCCCCTCTAGAACTGTGTTTATGTGCATGGCTGCACATGCATGTGAGGCCATGCCTGTGTGGCACACGAGAACTGGTTGAGAACAGACCATGTAGATGTTTAGTGAAGCAATCTCACACTGCACACTGGCATTTCACCAGACGGCTGCCATGGCAGCATTTTGGGCATCTTTTGTGTGTGTGTGTGTGGGGGGGCGTCCTTAGCTTTGCAAGGTTACTGTGGTATGTGCAATAACCTAACTTTATCTACAGGCGAGTTCAGCGGACATAACTGCCATATCACATCTTCAGAGTAAGAGGAATTTAAAGGAGGGGTTCTGGGATGCAGCATCAGAAATTGCTAAAAAGACTCACAATGTAGTTGGAAGGCCACTGACAGGCAAATAGATTTCTGGTTTAGGCTTCTATCTGTTTTCTTCAAGGTCACTGAACAATTAACAGATGATTACAGATAGGAATTACAGATAGAGCATTTATTAGTTTCACATGAAATTTGAAAACAGGGGGCACACCTGTCTAATTGCACCCCCAAAGGTTCAATAGAAACAACTGTACCCATAGTGTCACCTCTGATGCCTAGCAGTGTAAAGGTAACAGCCTCCCTGAGATAAATTTGGCAAGCTAGCCATGGTGCTACTTCAGCTCCAACACCAGTCTTTGTTAGAGTTCCCATTTCAGTTTCTGCAGCACAGATAAGCTTATCTCAGAGCTTTGAGCTGGCGTTCTGGATGGCACAGTAGACCTTATTACTAGGAGAACTGCTAATGAGCATCAGGAAATGCTACCAGCTCCAGAGAACTTACAGGATAGTTTCAAGGCGAGAAGTAAGAGGACAGGCCCTCAAATTCCCCGTGGAAGGTTAGAAATGAATCTGAATATGTGCAGATGCATATTTTTTTAAAACAGATCCTACACAAAATTTAGCTGAAAAAAATAATACTTCTCTAGACAAGATTTTTTTTTTTATTTCTGATGAAGATAATATGGGCTTTGAATTGAAAACTACATGTTATACTCTTTCTGTTTGCTTTGCCTTGTTATTCAAAGATGAAATTCATTCTGAGTTAGCTAAAACTGATTTAATCTTAGTCTTAACAATATCACTTAGCTCTCTGAAAACGAGACCAGTCTCTAAACAGAATGATACCCTACCTCCTTTTAAGGATACTTCCCCAAAACTGTGAGCTTCAACCCCAGAATTCTTCACTCCCTAAAATCACACTAATGATATTGAGAGAGAGAGAGAGAGAGAGAGAGAGAGAGAGAGAGAGAGAGAGAGAGAGAATTCATTTCTGGCAAATGAGTACAGGCTACATTGCAGGTTTCCTTGAAACCATCTACCATCTTCCTTTTATTCCTGTTTAGTACATTTCTAAGGCCCACTGACCATCAACAATTGGTAGGACAGACCTTGGTTTAAAAGGTGGCCTCTCTGCCATTTCAGTGGCTGATTTAAAAACCCATTATGCACTGGATTCTGTATTATAAAATCCAACCTGGGTACTACATTTCTGCCTGTCATCTTAGGGAAGGCCAGGAGTTTTGCACCATCCTGTAATGTGAAAACAGAAAATCGAAGCCAGCATAGAGCTCCATGCTTCTTCTCTGATTTGTTGCTTTTTGTGAGGTTATACTGGTTCTCACTATCTCAGGCTGGAAGGTTCAAGTTAGTATAATAATGTGTAGTTTAAATAGAATCTTCTATGGAAAGTCCCTTAATGGTAAATGCAGCAAGATAATTGGCAAATAATCATTTAATGTTTAGCCAAGAGCAATTTCCTTTCTAAACTGGTACGATCCCGATTAAAGAGCCAAGGGGCCCAGGTATTTTTCTTAGAGCTCTCATTCTGCTGCAATGACGGCCCCCATAAAACTCCAGTTTATGAACCGAATTTGTTGCACCCTCACTCTAATATTATAATGCAAACCCCAGTGATCAAAATATCTAAGATATGTAAACAGTTCCCTGCAAACGACAGCATGTGGAGAACTCTGCCGATGACCTCTCCCGTCTAATGTCAATTTCTGAAAACAAGTTTCCATCGCAAAGATTTAACCAGAGGACTTTCAGGAATCCAACACACAAACAAACAAACAAAACCCTTATCTTTTCTCCCAACTTGTTTGGTCTGTGAGCTTTTTCGTAGTAGCTGTCTCAGTTTCCTGCAAACACTTAGGCTTTCTCTTTCAACGGGGCTGCCAGCTGCTGAGGTTCTGAGCTAGGCAGAAACCTTGTGGTTTGATTCCATTAGTCTAAGATCTGGCCGGTTGCAAGGGTTGCAAGCAAGCTGCCTTATCTGCTGGCAAAAAAACCCTGACAGCCAGGTTCTAGACACGGACACTAGCTGCATGCATTCTTCCATACCGGTCTACCCAAATTTTGCCTGGAGCCAGTCAACCACAACAGAGTGAATCCTACCTTCCATCATGGTGGCAGAATTGCATTCCTTAATTTCCAAGGAGTCAGAAAAAACACAGGAGGATAAGCTTCCAGATCCCAGCTAAGTCCTCACAATGCCGCTGCTGAGGTCTGCTCTGCTTGCTGCCAAGCCAAAGGAGACAAGTGTTAACCCGAAAGACAGGCCATGGATGCTGCTGGTGCTGCTTCACCTACAAGCTCCTAGGAAGATGCTGAGAGAGAAAGGCAGAGGAACAGCAAGCCGGCAAGCTGCACCGCCTGCACTGCCTCGGCCAATCCCTTCAGCTCTGGACCGCGTCACATGGTAGCCAGCCTGCATCTCCTGACACAATACCCCCGGAGAGCTCACAGAACCCATTTCCCGTCCCCATTCCTCGCCACCCCCACCGCTCCCCTCTCCTCTCCAAAAACACAGCCCCTTCCCCACCTGGTGACGCACTTCCCCCGCCCCTCCTCGTGGTCCTCTCAAGCCTATTGCGGCTCTGGGTCGCCCGATGATCTGAGCTGCCACCGTGACTGCAGACGCCAGCCAGAAAGGAGCCCAGGAGGCTTAGCTGCCCAGGGGATTTTTCGTTTTTCTCTTTTATTTAATTTTAAAGAAGAAGAAGAAGAAAAAAAAGCTTCTCAGTAGTTCCAGGTCTTGGCAACACACTTTAGTATTTCCAGTCCAACCTCATTTTGACCTAAAGGAATTTCGAATGTCAGTACCTGGCTTCTGCGCACATCTGTCATCTGTGGATCTGTATCTCTCTCTCTCTCTCTCTCTCTCTCTCTCTCTCTCTCTCTCTCTCTCTCTCTCTCTCTCTCTCTCTCTTTCTCTCCTTTCTATCTCCCTGTCTCTCTGTCCCTCTGTGTGTCTCTCCCTCTCATTCACGAGAGAAAATCAATTCGCTGACGTCACATCATAAACAACCATCCCCCAAAGGATGATGCAGAAAAAAAAAAAAAAAAAAAAAAAAAAAAAATTCACCCCAGCTGCCTTGAAAAGAGGCAGGAAATTAATTGCGCATGACATGCCCAAGGGCTGGGAACTGTCATTAAAACAAAGAAACAAAAGAACCCACCCGATCCGGGCTCTGGAATCAAACCGGCGATGCTCCAGCTCATTTCTGGGGCGAGAGGCGGGAGAGGGGGGCTGAAGGCAGAAGCCTAAGCCCTGGCCTCTGCAGACGTGTGCTCGCTGTCTCCTCCCACGAACTCGACTCTGCAGCAGGGACCCCGGGCAGCGGGTCCCGCCGCCACTCGCACCGCGTCCTCCTGCTTACTAGGGCTGCTGCCCGCCTCAGGTGGGGAGCCTCTTTTGCAGACTTGGCTACAGCTGCCAACTGCAGCCCCTGCGAAGGGGCAGGTTTTAGGAGAGACGCGCCTCCAAAGATCTTGAGTCGCCTCGGAGCCCAGTCTTTCACCCAGGGGGAAATCCAGCGGGAGGCAACCTGGAACGGTTGCACTGGAGGAATGGGCGGAGCCCGGGCTCTGGCAACTTGCTGGGATGGGATCTGCTTGCCCTGGAAAGGTTCAGACACAAGGTCTGGTTGAGTTGAGGGTCTGTCACCTGAGTGCTCTCAAGAGACCTAGGAGTCCTTCAAAGAGACTCCCAGGCCCGTTGTCGGGCAATCCTGAGCCAGACAGCCAAGCACAGATAAATGGAACCGAGAAGGGGAGGCCTATGAGAAGGGAGAAAGAAAATGATGAAGGGAGATAGGAGGCTAGAGAAAGGTCTCTTTAAAATGGGGAAGAATAGTGGAATCGGGGCTATGAAAATTCCCTTATTGAAGATCCGGTCCTAGTGTCTAACAACTGTGCTGATCGTTTATAACACCCTCACTTAATATTATCCAGATCTCGACATTTCCGGATTTCGTCCAGAGGGAATATGAGATACTGGTGGCCATGAAATAATAAAGAGCAGAGCTAAGGAGGCCAAGCAAGAAGCAGATTAGTCAAAATCGAAAAGCAACTCAGTTCCTTAGCAACTTACAAGATTTTCTTAATTAAAGAAAACCGCATCGTTTCCCCTCAAGGACATATGCTTGCTTCATTGGCCTCTGCATTCCAAAATTAAAGTCTCTGGAGAGATACTGTTACTTGAGGCTTTTCCCCTATGTCTATGAGGAAGTAGAGTTTTAAAAGGAAGAGATTACAAAATAAAACATGTCTTAAGGACAACTTGATCTGCTCTAAAAACTGCTGTGAGGTGTGTCTGTGTGTGTGTGTGTGTGTATGTGTGTGTGTGTGATTAGCAAATTATTTTAGTGACAATTAAGAATGTGGTGTCAAACAGACTGGTATGAAATTGTGTCTCTTTTTCATTAAGATCTGAAACCCTGGGCTTTGGTCTCTTAGCTATAAAATGGAAATTACACATAATACCAAGTTCACAAGCCTAGAAACCAGCTCTTCTCAACCTGTGAGTCGAGACCCCTTTGCTGGTGAGTGTCCCTTTCACATTTACGATTCATAACAATAGCAAAATTACAATTATGAAGTAGCAATGAAAATGATTTTATGGTTGGGGGGGGGGCTCACCAGAAAGTTACTTAGTGTTGTGTCTGGGGCCTTGCCTTATTAAGTCCTCCATGTTAGAGTTGCAGAATTACTATCATTGACACTGAAGGGCTGGCACATGCATCAGAGAAGGTTGCAGCCATAGTACTGCAGGTGCAGAGCGTCATGCCACTGAGAACAGCAGCGAAAGACTAGGTGAGACAGAGGGCCAGTTTTTTTGGAGATGCTTGAAAGTTGCTGAAGGGAAAGGCGCAAACAAGATTAGTTGGGGGAAATGCAAAAATGATGGAGTTTTGGGATAGTTCATGAAAAGAAATGCAATGAACGTGGGTCTGGAGGTGAGTGGTAGCAGGACATGCAGTAGGTGAGGTGAAGCTGCAGATGACTGAGCAGTTTGTCAGCCTCTGCTCCCAGCCCTGGCTCTGGTGAACTGAGCAGATCTCTCACACGCACTGTGGTTCACCCCAGTTTGGTTTTAGGATTGCAGCAAGTCTCATAGCTAGAAAGAAAGTGAGCTCAAAGATTCATGTTCGGAATATATTTGAAAGTTTTAATGCACAGTAAATATTTATAAGGCATAATGTGATATATAAGTGACTATGTAGCATGTGTAATGAGTAGATCAAGGTAATTCACACATCAGCCACCTCCAGAAATTTCTCTCTCTCTGTGTATGACTTTAAAAATCTTTCCTACTAGCTGTTTAGAAGTAAATAATTATGACCAAACACAGTGACCTCATTGCACCATAGACTGTTAGAAGTTACTCTTATCCAGCTGTTTCCCATCACACCTGTTAACCATCTTACTTTCACCCATTCATTAACTTATGGTTGCCAACTGCCAATAATACTGTTCTACTCTCTTCATCAGTCAAACCAAACATTTAGCTTCCTCATCTTATGAGAATATGTGGCATTTATCTTTCTGTATGTGCCTGACTTATGTGACTTAATCTAATGCCCTGCAAGCTTATTCATGTTACAGTAAGTAACTGAATAATCCATTGTGTGTATATGTATGACATTTTCCTTACCTGTTCGTTTTGTCTATGGACTCTTAGGCTGATTCCATATGTTAGCTTTTATAAACAGTAACACAATGCACAGATAGGTGCAGATGTCTCTTTAACTTACTACTTTCCTTCTTTTTGGATGTATATCCAGAAGCACAATTACCAGGTCATATGGCAGTCCTCTGTTAAATTGTGCAAGGTTTCTATTGTTTTCCTATAAGAGTATGTGAGAGTTCTGCCTCTGTACTTCATCAACTTCTGTTATGCTTTTGTCTCATTGTTAATAGACAGTTTTAAGGGGCTTTGTATTTCCCTGGCAATTACTGGCATTGAGCATCTTTCATATATTTTCTGGTTATTTTTATATCTTCCTTTAATACATGTTGATTCTGGACTTTTGGTCAGTAGCTGCTAAGGTCATACGAAAAAGAAAATTATAGCTACAATGGCCCTAGAATGACTAACAAAAAGGTGTGTAGCAAGAAAGTGGTCAGGTCAGTCCTGAGGGCAGTTTCATTTCTCCACAGATTTCTGAGCTGCTTGCCTTTTTCCCTTTAAAAAAGATATCTTATTATCAATTCACATTAAAAATGTACTCAAACATATTGCCAGAAAAACTCTAATACCTTGATTATATGTATGGGAAACATGATTTTGCTCAAGAACATAAGCAACATCTTCGATTATGCCCAAATTTTCTCACCTTTCCAGGAGAGCTCTTTCCTTGATGATAAGACCCAAAGAAGAATTTCTTGTTGCTGAAATAATGGGATGTTTCTTACAAGCCTGAAATAGCAGCCAAAAGATCTTGGAAAACACAGGCTCAGTTGCTAGCTAGCATCAGAGTGCAAACATCGCAAACATTGCCTGGAAACCCTGTCCAGGATGATAAAGACAGACCCATGTCACACTAGGCTCATAGAATATGATTTGGCTAGTCAAAGACCAACAACCTAGATGCTGATGTCACTAGACTTTGCATTATGTTTCTGAAATAGGGTTTGTATTGTGCTGATGCTTCCTTAGTTATTTATGACTTAGAATCAGATTCCAGCTGGATGTGACAGCCATGTCTTTAAATCTAGTACTCTAGAGGCAGAGGAAGGTGGAGCTGTGAGTTCAAAGTCAGTCCAGTTTACATAGCAAGTTCAAAGCCAGCCAGAGCTACACAGTAAGACCCTGTCTCAAAATAAATAATGAATGGATGAATGAGTGAATAAATAAATAAATAAACAATAAATAGATAAATAAATAAATGAAAGAAGAGAAGTCAGATACCTATCACGTTCTCAAAAGCTGGGCTTCTTTATTTTCTTTTAATTTTAGTGTTTTGGGGGATTATCTGTTCCTCCTAGAAAAAGAAAGAAAGGAATAAAGGAAGGAATGAAGAAAGAAGGAAAGAAAGAAAGAAAGGAGAGGATTGGAGAGATAGCTCTGTGCTTAAGAGCACTGGCTGCTCTTCTAGGGGACCCAGGTTCAATTCCCAGCACCCACATGGTAGCTCACAACTTTCTGTAACTCCAGCATCCAACACCCTCACTCAGATAAACAGTGAAGCAACAGATCAATGAAATAAAATAAATAGTTATAAAATGTATTTGTAAAAGAAGGAAACAAAGAATGAGAACTGAGTCGTGAAGGAGGAAGGAAAGTTAACCCAAGGAAAAGCTTTAAATTGTGATTATGTCTACATGTACATCTCTCCAAGGCAGCCATCATGGCAGAACATTTGGCTACTTCCATGTTACTGTCTCCTTAGATCCAGCCAATGATGGTAAAAGGGAAATGTAGCCCAAACACTAGAGTCCCAGTCTTGCCTGAAGAGCCTGAGTTCTGAGTCACCACAGTGAGAGAT